TGAGGCGGCTCCTTTTATACTGAGGTTTCCATTGTGAAATAGTGACGAGGTGCGTCGGCGGAGCTGATGAAACCTCGGTGTCTGTCTCGAGCTGACGCATGACTCAGCATAGCTGGCCCATGACTCGACAACCAAACAGCTGACGTATGACTCGACAGGGTATATACATATTTTATTATTATTGTTATATTAAATAACATTAAATGTGGGATCAGGGAGGAATAGGACAAGTCGGCTCTCGCCGATGCGATGGGCTCTGGACGATCGTGATGAGACAGCAGCTGCCCAAGCCTCGTCCAGGTGGCCGTCGGCTGGTGAGGAGATGACAACCTGATGGTGTAGCTTAGTTAGAACTAGAAAACCACATCTCCTTTCCCTACGGTAAGCCTGGCCACTAGCTTACACTTTTACGGCATATACTTCCCCGACATGAGTGATCGCGATCTAGTATACCTTCCCTGTTTATGATCTTTTCTACGACTTCTGACCGGTCCTGATAAAAGTCAATAAAAGTTATACAGTAGTTAAGGAATGACAATGATGTAAGAATACCATACTACCTCAGAATTCAATGGTAGGGACTCAGCATGAGATATAACGTCCACATAAAATATGATGCCGTAACCCGTATAGGCACCCTTGGGAGGGCTGAATGAGCATATTTACCACCCATTACTGCCCACATTTTTATTGCAATGAAGTATGCATGTAGTGTACCCCATTATAACAGTAAATGAGTAATTTATTTCGAAAAACTGGGGGTACACTGAGGGAAAGGCCCTCCTCATGTAGGTAATCGGCTACCGTAACAAACAGCTAATGGAAATGCTTCAGCTTCTCTACAGCTTTATTCCTGGTAATTTTTTGCAAACGTATATCAGTGAGAAAAAAATTTAAAAAATGTTTAAATGTAAAAAATTAAGTAGACACTCACATAGAAGCCGTCCGAATCTTCAGATTACCGTATAGTTAATAGTGCAGATGCCATCAAGATGAAGAAATTCGGGATGGAATAGTAGCAGCTTAGTGGAACCTGATGATGTAGCTGAGGAGTTCATATGTATAACAAGACNAGGGAGGTGCGGTTGAGGGGGAGCGAAGGTTGTAGAGGAGTGGCTGGCCGCCCAACAGCTGACTGTTATATGGTCTGGAATCGCTCTGGCCTGCCGCTACTTTACAGCAAAAGCCCCATGGAGGGTGTTCAAGCTTTCGAGAATGCTTTTCAATTGCAAGACCTCACAAAGGACCCTTTTAGACGTTTTACTGATAATGTCACAATGTGAACACTACTGAGGCAAGTGTTCTCCCCCATCATGAAATCAACCTTTTACTTAGAACTTCTTATTTTTTATATTATCTTTTATTTTATCTATTAATTTATTTTTCCAAATTGATTTTATTTTAGGTTTCTACGTTTTTACCTTTTTCAATTGCGTCTCACAATCAGAAAGAAATGTTAGAATTCATTAATGAGAAGTTGATGAAATCGAAGTTATTCTAATCTGAGCTGCAGTATAGGTTTGAAGCAATGCTTCCTCCGAGCTCGCTAAAATGATCTACAGAATCTTTTCGGAATATTTTTCTAGTGATATTTCATTTATTCCTGGATTTTCGGAGTGGAATCCTACTTACAGGTACCACCTTAGTCAGAAGAAACCATTGAGAATCTCACATTGACCTTTGCTACCAGTTTAGAAGCCATTTACTGAGGTCCCCCACATCTGTGGTGCAGTACCAGGACCTGTAGATGAATAGTGATAATGGTGATTTCCGTCTGATTCCGGTGCACACTACTGAGGGAATTTCGACGAAAGCAAGAGTAAAAGCTTATGAGAGTCCAAAGAAACGTTACAAAATATATTTAGCAAGTACAGCACATAATTACCTAATCCCAAGAGTTCGATGTTCAAAGAGGGATGAACAACAAGGCCTCACTCAACACCACCTCAAATGTTCTACCTTTCCTTCAATTCATACATTTGATCCTGCCTCAATGGGATGACTACTAAATGTTCATGGCTTATCTTACCCATTTTTATACTTTCCCTGATCCTGCAAACTAGCGAACAAAAAATTACCTTGAATTTCAGGTATTCCAGGAGCCTTGCGGGCTTGTTCTTACCTTGGCTATCAAAGGTTTGTTGAAGATCTTCTAGTTTGTCGGGGGTATAGCTCAGGGGTAGAGCGCTCGCTTCGCATGCGAGAAGTCTGGGGTTTAATTCCCCATACCTCCAAACAATTTGCATTTATTGTTTCAAAAGTGTTGCAATGTAGCAAAGTAGTCCGATCTGCTCGCGTACAAATATAAAGTTGCAGAAACTCGTACAATAACTCCCACTGATGCGTTTTTGGATGACGAGAAGTCCATGAGCTTCTATTGCTCAACCTTAGATCTCCCAGCGCTGAATATTGAGATTAACATATACCTTATTGAGAACCTGATTTTGAGCCTGTTTATTGAAAATTATGAGGTCACGAATATTTAGTGCTTTTTCAACAAATTTAAAGAGAAATANTAGAGCGCTCGCTTCGCATGCGAGAAGTCTGGGGTTCAATTCCCCATACCTCCAAACATTTTGCATTTATTGTTTCAAAAGTGTTGCAATGTAGCAAAGTAGTCCGATCTGCTCGCGTACAAATATAAAGTTGCAGAAACTCGTACAATAACTCCCACTGATGCCTTTTTGGATGACGAGAAGTCCATGTAGCTTCTATTGCTCAACCTTGGATCTCCCAGCGCTGAATATTGAGATTAACATATACGTTATTGAGAACCTGATTTTGAGCCTGTTTATTGAAAATTATGAGGTCACGAATATTTAGTGCTTTTTCAACAAATTTAAAGAGAAATAACAAAACAAGTATGTACACAGAAGATCAGCTTGTTGCGAGATATTTTTCCATGAGTTCCCGTTTTTTCCTCTCGATAATCATTTCTTCGATATCACTCTGAGTTGGTACCTAAAAAGACCCATCAGGTATAAACAACAGCTGCAAAAAAACTGGGCAGAATTTCATAGAAAAGGGGCTGTGCTTACCAGAACGTGTCTGATGGTCATCTGTTTTCCATCTTCACCGACAACGATAGATTCCTTTGTGTCAATGTCTTCACCATCGGAGTCCTTAACAAGAAATTTTCGTTGGAACTCTACAAATCGGTAGGAGCAAAAATATAAGCAGTCCTAGGTCTGGTGGTGCAAAGTTGAGGCATTACAAACAATACGGCTCCACTTTCAGGGAATTCCTCATAGAGCAACCTGAGCAGTGGTGGAGTAACGCCAAAGAACTCAAATTCGTTATTATGACAAAACTATTAATGCTAATGCTGATGTGCCATTAATGCTAGTACGGTATGAGTCGCACTGATTTTAACTTTGAAGTGTGTGAAAACCAGCTCAAATACGTGTCTTCACACAAGTTTTCAAAAAAAAATCACTGCCACAACAAAGAAGTGCGACCCGAGTTTGAACACTTAAGAAGTTCGAAAGAAAATAAAATACCCACATCTTGAACTTTATAAATATCTTCATCCATGTCGTCTCCGAATTCCTTCTGAAAACGCTCAGCTCCATGTTCGGCAAAATACTGAAAAAAAAGTTTTCAACAGTCGGTTATGGATTTGTGCTTTTCTATTGCGATAATTGTCAACAATCCAGTTCCCATATGTGTTTTGACTACAAATAAACATATCTTGGCGAGCACCTAGTTTCATAACGACCACAAACCTTTTCAGCTTCTTCAATTGCTTTTTTCTCTGCCTCTTTCTCCAAAGGTATCAATAAACCATCGTCATCGTCCAGATATCCATAATAATCTGCATCGACGTGCTTCATCAACTCGGCCCGTGTTTTTCGCATTTGCTAAAATATTCATCATCACCTTTTCAAGGCTTATAAATAGAAATCATTTATCTAAAAAAATGACTAATATACCTCTAATTCCTTCGACTCTTCGAACAATGCCCGGACACCAGGTAAATCTTTAGCTGCGCCAAAATACTTGTATCCTCGGTTGGATGCGACCTCTCTCCCTTCTTTGTCGAGTTCACGCGCTGAGATTTTCCTAAATTACATTTTTGAAGCTCCTATAAATTGTTGTGTGGATAAAGAAATAATAATATAATATAATGTACAAGCTTAGCTCGACATGATCACCGCGACCATGTCCTCACCTATAATCCATTCCTCCTAGCTCTCGTATCCGCATTTCCCAGGCATATTTGATCCTTATCATTTTATTGATTTCGTCATTTAAATCGCGAATCTTGAACTCTCCCAGACCAGGATTTTGAATGAGTGCGATCTTCTTGGCGATTTCTTTTGCAATCTAAGACACAAACAAGTATTGAACAACGTTGAAAACGTGAAGCGTCGAAGTCAGACGTGAGGGATGCGTCTATACCTCGCGACGGAATCGTTCTGCATCGTTTAGGTTCGAGCAAAGACTTGTGTCATGTGGTCGTTTTGCTATTGGACCCTGGAA